GAACTGAACCAGTCATGCTGAAACACTGGTTTATAATAAACTTTAAAAATCCCCTCCTTATGAGAATGATGTCTATTTCCTGTATTGCTAATAAGAATACATGTGGAAAGAAACATAGGAAAAGGAAAGGCTTCAATATGAATCATAATTATAAATCAAATGTTATCTGTATTAACTTTTTAGTGTCTGTCTTAAGTTTGTTAATCTAAGCATCGAACGTGCAGAATACTCACGCTGTGCTTCCAGATATTTAGTGAGTGGAGATTTTGATTATACTTTCTTTGGGCTTCACATTTTCCTGAATGGAGGGTGGAATTCTACAGTTCCTTTCTTTGTCTTGTTTTTTTGCTACTCAAGTGGGATGACTTTGAGTAACAGCTGTTGCTGTTCTGGACAGTGGGCAATGATACATACAGTAAAAGCATCACCGGGTGATAATTTTCAAAGTTCATCTAGGTAGGTGAGAACGAGCATGGAAGAGGTAACCTCTGTGTCAGCAGCCTTGTGTTTTGGCAAAGAGATGCTGGCTGGACTAATGGGTAGGCAGAGAACGGAGTAGTTTTTCTCACCAATTCAGATGAGATTTTTGAAATGAGGCAGCCAAGGCTTTATCACACTGAATAATGTGGAGTAACAATAACCACAAATAATTATTTGGTTGGCTTATGTGGTTCCAATGACATTATAGGAGGAGAACTGTATCTATGGAGACAAAACATCAGGAGTCTGGTAGCACCTTTTCTGACTGACAGATTTTATATATGTGCATAACCAACCTATCTTCCCTTCCCTCCTCCCCACTCCCCATTTAAATCCTACATCAGTGTAGCCACCCTATGCTTCTGATGGAGTGAGCTACAGCTCAGAAAAGCTTATGCCTTTTAATAATTGGGAAAGGTACTACCCAAACTTCTTAAGTGATTTGCAGGGAAAAACAGTTTGAAAACTATTTTCCTAAAGTATGTAGTTCTAGTAAACAATTAGATTTAGAGAAGGGTGACATACTTTTTAGCACATCCCCCACTTTCTCCGTACAACTTCTCTTAACATTCAGCTGATAACTGGGAGTGGCCAACTGGTAGTCTTTTGAAGAACATACCTGGCCTGAAGGTCTACTATTGCTTATCTCCAATATATCTTATTTTAATGTATACTAGAATTTACTATTCTTTATTGTATGCTGAGCAATGTAGCACTCTTTTTTAGCTGCAAAACACAGCATATGACCATGCTAAAGTTTTAAATATATTTGAGAGGAATGAACTTGACCTGACCCTGATTTTTTTTTCCTGAACACAATGTATACTGTGCAATGTTCTTCCACTTATTCAGGTTCCTTTAAAAGTTCTCAAAATATCTTTTTTTTTTGTAATTGATCTCTGCAGGTATGCAATGGATCTTTTCTACTTGGTAATCATAACAGATTTGTTAGTTACTAATTAGCATTTCAGTTGGTGATTATAAGAAGGTTGTGGGTGTTTAATGGAAAAATAAGTTTTCATATTAGTTTTTTTCTTTTTTGAAGAAAATTGTCAAGCTTAAAAGATTGTGTTTTGATTTTATTTTTTTAAGAGAGACAGTGGTAGCTTTCTAACATTTATCTTGGATCCAAAGTCTATTGCAGGCTTTTTTGCATGCTTGCAGAGATGAGGAACTTGTTCTTTTTCTTTTTGCTTCCTCCCTTTGCATTCTTCAGGATGATGTTTCAGGGATGGAAGGGATCTTTAATGCAGAACATCCCCATAAATATGTTTGCATTTGTATTCTGTTTCTCTCATACATATGCATGTGTGCAAATGTATAGAAAAATGAGAAAAAATGCTTCCATATCCAAGCAAATATTTGCATCCAAGTTCATTTTTGGATAGGTTAAAGGCCAACAGTATTAAACATTAAGCAAGAAATGAATAAACATATATATTTGGTTTTCATTTCTTTTGCCAAATACACGATGACATAGTTCTATAGCATCTTGGTAGTTTAACTCATCATCTGCATCTACTTCATCAAATGAAGAGGAGTGCATTACTGCATGAAAGCTTATCCAGTAATAAATGTGTTGGTCTTATAATGCCAGAAGTACATATCTTTTCTCCCTTTTAATCTTCTCAGGTGCCTTTGTAATCTCTCTTCAACCTGGTAGAAACATAACAGTTAAAATAAAACCTGGATCTTCTGTTCCAAATTCCTGTGCACTGCGTGAAGGAAAAAAGACTCATCTTTCTGAGCAAATAATAAAGCCTGGACAGAAGTTTGATTTTACCTTTGATTGTTCAACGCCAGAGAAATATTGGGTCATAGTGGTGGAGAAGAACATTGGTAAGCTATATTACGTGACCTACATCTCTGCGAGCTTTTCAAAGCACTGGGTTATTTACCAACATGGACTAACTGTCACAAATCTAAATGGACTTGCACAACCCTATCAGTGAAATGGATTAAAATCTATTTCTTCTTGCAGTGTGTTTTAAAAGGACTATGTACTTTGGAGTTTACTTTTCAGATCTTATCATCTCCTTTATGATATAAGAATCTTTGGGCTTTCTATTTAATGGGGCTCAAATAGATTAGTAAAAATATGTCATGCTCAAAATTCCATAGTGAGCTTTCTTGGATAGTGCTTGTGCAAGGCAGAGGCTAATGTTGCCATTTAAAAGCAGATTGTACTGTACAGGTAGTCCTCGCTTAACAACCACTATAGGGACTGGAAAATTCATCACTAAGTGTGTCAGTTGTTAAGTGAGATATCACGTGACTGCACCTGATTTTATGACACTTTTTGCAGTGGTTGTTAAGCAAATCACGGTGGTTAAGTGAATCATGTGGCTGTTAAGCGAATCATGTGGTTCCCCATTGATTTTGCTTGCTGGAAGCTGGCTGGGAAGGCCATAAATAGTGATCAGGTGACCCTAGGATGCTGCAACTATCGTAAATACATGCTGGTTGCCAAGCACCTGAATTTTGATCACATAACTGCGAGGACGCTGAGCTGATTGTAAGTGCGAGGACAGGTTGTAAGTAGCTTTTAACACTATCATAACTTTGAATAGTTGCTAAACGAATGGTCGTTAAGCAAAGAGTACCTGTATGCATCTTTGCCCCCAAAGTATCATAAAGAATAAGGACACTTTGAGGGCAAAAATGCATAGAGTACAATTCTAAGCATGCTTACTAAATTTAGTTGCTAGATGTGTTGGATTATAGCTCCCAGAATTCCCATAGAATTTATTTCAGTATGCTGGCCAGGAATTCTGAGTAAGACTGAGAATACCTGAGGCTTCATGGGATAGTAGTTAAAAACAGTTTATGTATATGTAGGAACTTTATGATAATGCTTAGTTATGGACTGCTGATAGAAAATTCAGGTAGCGTTAACAGAAATGGAAGAATAATGCTCTGGACCCCCTCAGCAAAAGAACTCTGACTAGTGGGGTCCAGAAGGCGGGCCTTCGCTGCTGTAGTCCCCGCCCTTTGGAACATCTTGCCCCCGGAAGTGAGACAGGCTCCCTCACCCCCGGCCTTTCGGAGGGATTTGAAGACCTGGCTCTGTCATCTGGCCTGGGGCGGGGAGGGAGAAATGGGGTTGGCTAGCCCCCTAGAGGCCTGGTGTTGCTTCCATCGGCCTCTTGGATTTTTTCTCTTCCTTCTATTTTGTGTAAATGTGTTTTTCTTTTTTTATAAATTTTAACTATGTATTTATTTATTATTTTAATTTGTTGTAAATCGCCCAGGGTCTCCCATTGGGGGGAGATGGGCGGGGATAAGTTTGCTAAATAAATAAATAAAAATCATAGACCAAATCAATATGATTTGTTGTAGCCATTTCAGGTTATAATTCTTATATATTTCTGTATGTTTCTAGATTGTCTGTCAGGTCCATGTCCTTTTGGAGATCTTCAGCTTCAGCCTCCTGGATTGCCACGCCTTAATAGGACCTTCATTTGGGAGGCTAAAGCTAACAGAAGAGTTGGACTTGAACTGAAGTTCTCTCCATGGTTAAGGCAAATTCTGCCTGGAGACACCTGCCCTGATCAAATTATTTACAACATTGGCAGCCGTCTGGGAATAGATAGAGTCCACATTGGAGCCTTCTGCAGAAATGGTTCAGTGTCACGGGTAAAGGCACAAGGCGATGCTATTTTGAGTCTACAACTTCCTTGGGATTCAAAACTCACAGCCTCTGGAGTTAAGCTTGAAAGCAGATCATCCATACAACGTAAGCATAGGGGATTACTATTTTGCTTCCATTGATAGCCACATTCCAATTTGCTATATTTAAGTGAGATGCCTTACGCTGTCTTTCTAACAGTTTTTTGGGGTGGGGGGGAGGGAGAACCATGGACCTGCTAGGTTC